ATCTGGCAGTGCAGCAGGGGTGGGCGGGGAACATGGATCTCCTGGCTGCCTGCTGGACTCGTGTCCCCGCTGCCCTACACAGCCCCGCTCCCCTCCACAGACCCCGCGCTGCAGCCCCCGCACCTCGCCCAGCTTCAGGAGCCCCGCCGCCAGCTGCTGCCCGCGTTCTGCGGCGTTCTGCAGCAGGCCCTCCTCGGTGACCACATCGATGGTGGCGGCCGCCGCGGCGCAGCCGATGGCGCTGCCGCCATAGGTGCCGCCCTGCGGTGACGAACAACAACAAGACGGAACGCAAGGTTGTGTGCTGCACAGCCCGTCGACGGCTGGCGCCCGCACGCGCCCCAGCCTCGTCCCTGCCTCACCCCGCCTGGCCCGTACCCTTCTACCCCTGCCTACGTCCCCGTCCGGCCACCTGCCAATGCCTAGCCACGCCCCCTGCACTCTCACCATCATGCCCGCGCTCATCTTATCGTACAGCTGCGGCTTGGCAGACACGCCTGCAAACGGCACGCCGCTAGCGATGCCCTTGGCAAACAGGAGCACGTCGGGCTGCAGGCGCGGGCAGCGGGTGCAGGTGCAATGGGCGGCATTAGGGGTTAGGGTGCAGGTGCGGGTGCAGGTGGGGGTGAGGCGTGAGGCACCCGGCCGCGCAGCGAAAGCAAGTGCACGTGCAGGTGCGATGGGCAGTGTTGAACGTCGCGGCGGCGTCGGGCCGGCAAGGCTCGGGTAGCGCAGGAGGCTAGGCAGGCAGGCATCGGCGCCTCAGGCAGCAGCGGCTTGCCTGCACGTCGGTCAGATGCTGGTGGCCCCACCACTTGCCGGTGCGCCCCACGCCGCACTGCACCTGCGCCACCGCAGAGCAGCAGGGAGAAGCCAGTGAAGTCTCAGCTCCTCAGAACGGGGCGCCCAAAGACCTTTCTCAAGGCGTGCCATTGCACCTGCTGCTGCACCAGCACCGCCCTGGGCCGATGCTGCCTCCCCGCTTTGCCGATGCACCACTGCCACGAGCAGTATCACCGCCAGTACCATGAAGCAGTACCACCAACAGTACCACCACCGCCCCGCCACCTCACCTCGTCGAATATGAGCAGCATGCCGTGCTTGTCGCACAGCGCGCGCAGCGCGCCCAGGAAGCCCGGCGGCGGCGTCAGGAAGCCGCCCTCCCCCAGGATAGGCTCCAGGATGATGGCGGCAGTCTCCTGCGGCAGCATGATTTTGTTTTCAGCAGCCAGGGAAGGGGATGAAGGGAGCTTGGCGCACAGCGAGCAGGGCCAGGGACCGTGAGAGGAGGAGGGGCGAATGGCAGGCATGGCAGGGGGTGGGTGCTGGTGGTGCTGCGTTGGCTGAAGGGCGCGCTGGCAAGAGCACGCTTCAGTGCCATCATGGCCTGCTGCGCTGCCCCACAGCCCGCCCCGCGGCCCAGCAGCAGCGACATGCGCGGCCGCGGCGGCGGCGCCGCCGCACCGAGGGCGCCGAGTGCGTCTTGAGCATCCACTCCAGCGACTCCAGCGGCCCGCCGCAGCACTGCCGCTGCGCGTAGGGCTTGCCCAGGGGCGGCTGGTTGGGGGCCACGTCGTACCCCAGCCCCCCCACCGCCTGCCGCGTCTTGCAGTGCAGGCAGTACGGGTAGGGCGCGGTGACCACGCCTGCAGGCAGGCGGCAGGTGAGCGTATGCTTGCTTGCTTGGTGGTGGTGTGGTGGTGGTGCGTGGTGGTGCGTGCGGGGGCAGGGCAGCACACGGCGGCGCCAGGAGGGGCGTGCCCACAGGGAGGCGGGCAGCAGGGGTGGTGCGGCGTCAGGGCATGGGGCCGACGTACCGCTGGGGAAGGGGCCAAAGGTCTGGCGGTACACAGTCTTGCTGGTGGTCAGGGACATGGCGCCATAGGTGCGGCCGTGGTAGGCGCCCTGTCGGGAGGCAGGCAGGCGGGCAGGTGGGCAGGCAGGCAGCGGGGTTGCAGGAGCTGGTTAGCCACAGCCGGCCAGCCAGGCAGCCAGGCAGCGGGCCAGCTGTGTAAGCCCCCGGGGGTCGCCGCCACGGCAGGTGTAGGCAGGCGCGGCAACCCAGGCGCCAGCAGGGGCAGCTACGAAGGGGCGAGGCCACATTGCAGCTGCAGCCGGTGCATGGCCGCCAAAAAAGAATAAAGAACTGTAAAATCTCCAAGTTACTGCGCAGCTGCAGCGGGCTCACGTCAAAGGCGATGATGTTCTGCTTCCCCGTGTAGTTGCGCGCTATCTTCATGGCATTCTCGACCGCCTCTGCGAGAGAGAGAGCGGGAGGGAGCTCAAACGCTAGGCACGGAGGGGTAGGGAGCGATGGCGCGCAGCAGAGCGGCTGGCATGCGAGGGCGGGGCGGCACAGAATGCGCGGCATGGCACACACACACACACACACACACACACACACACCGCACACACGCTTAGCCCCACCTGCCCCCGAGTTGCAAAAGAAGTGGGAGGTCAGCTGGGGAGGCATGATGCGGTCCAGGCGCTGCAGCAGGTCCACCTGCGGCCGCAGGCGGGCGGCGGCAGGGCCTGGGTCAGCCCCGGCGCCAGCGCCAGCACCACGTCGGCACGCTTGCCCTGGAGCCTGCTGCAGGGCCTGTATGTTATACACCCGGCTAGAGCGGCGCTGCCAAGCCTCCCTGCGCCAGCTGGGTTGACCAAGGCATACCCACCATGGGCCTGCTTGCTGGGAAGATGTTTTGCTGGGCCATGATGATCTGGGCAGCCTGCTCCTGGATCGCCTTGACCACCCGCGGGTGGCAGTGCCCCGTGCTCAGCACCCCAATCCCGCACGCAAAGTCCAGGTGCTTGCGCCCGTCGGTGCTCCACACATACGAGCCGGCGCCGCGGTCGGCCACCACGGGCTGCAGGCGCCAGGATGGGGCCAGGGGCAGCGAGCTGGGCAGGCGGCTGGGCGGCAGCGGCGGGCGGCGGCATGCACCATCCAATGTGTAGCCTGCGGGCGGTTCTCCCCAATAGCCGGCATGCCCACCCTGCCCTACAGCCTCACCGCGAACTTGGAGACTGCCGGGGAGAGGCGCTCCACGATTTGTTGGTAAGACCACCCTCCCGCGCCCGTCAGCATTTCTCCTGCCTTGATGCCCAGCCGCGCCGGGCTGCTTGACACCATTGCAAGCGCCTTTTGGTGCAGCCGCAGGGGAACGAGGGTATTGAGGCACCCAGCGCCGTTTCGAGCCGGCCCACACTGGGAAGGAGGTAACAGAGACAGCGATGCGACCGATCGAAAGCCCGCATTCGTCCCGTCCTGGCCGCGGCCCCTGTGACGTGGCGTGGCGGGTGCCAGCTCACCTCCCGCCCCCTGCGTCTGCACATACTGACAGTGCCACCTCAAGCACGGAATGTTACAGACGCATGCAATCACAGAGACTCACGCAGAGGCCCACTGCCACCACTGGCGGGAGGCTGCCGCCCCTGCCGCTGGCGCCGCCGCTCCTGCCGGCCCTTCTGCTGCCGCTGCCTCCGCTGCTGCCGCCGCCGCTTGCTGCTCTTCCTGCTGCTGTCGCCGCCGCACCAGGCGGCTGAACACCTCGGGCCGCAGGTGCTCTCGCAGGAAGGGTTTTACTGGCGGCTCCAGCAGGCTGTTGGGGCGGAACTGCTCGCCAGCGGAAAGCTCTATGCAGCCCGTAGGTGGAAGAGCATCATGGGAATCTTCCTCATTGGAAAAGCAGTAAATGGCCCACGTGCAATGGGCCTGCAGGGCCTCGGAGGCAGCAGCAGCGCGAGGGGACACGTAGCAAGTACTTTTACTTATAGGTTGCCTCTATTGTAATCATGATTTATCTCGCAAGTGTTTTTCAGCATGACACCATCAGACACACTAGAAAGAAAGCCGTCATAAGGCCATTTGCCGCCATGCAAATACCGCCTTGCATGCGCCCTGCGCCATCGCCACAGCAGCCATCTCACGCGGAAGCTAATCGACGATCTCTGCCGCTACATTCGCTTCCTCGTCTTGATACTGCGCGGAAATCAACTCTAGACTGCTTGTGGCGGGGTACTGCAGCCCTGGCGCCCTTCCTCTCTCGGGGTGCGAGTTGGAGTTCCAGACCTCGTTGTCTCCATAGAAGGGAATCTATCTAGTAGGCGAGGTAGGCGATGCGGGTACAGGAAACGGCGACATCTCCCCCGTCTGGTCGGTGCACGTGTTGGGTTCACGAACCCTCCCCCTCCACCACCCTGCCCCCGCCCCACCGCCCCTGCCCATCTTGGTCGCCTATTTCTGTCTGGCAACTTCAACCCCCGATGTGTTCTTTTCGAAGGGGGGCGGGATTCACCAGGGGTCTTTGGGGTTCAGGCTGCACTCACGAGCTTGCCCGTCTCGACCGCCACCGGTGGCCGCTGCGCCGCAGCATGCCGACACCCTACCTTCCTTCCGTCTGTCTGTCTATTCTTGTCGATAGCCTGCAGGTACACCTATGACTCTGGATCTGGAAAGGGGTAGGATATATTTGGACCCTGCAGATGAGGGCATGAAGCTCAATGAGTTGGAGGAATGGGAACTGAAAGTGATGTCACGGTCGACCACCCCAGCAGCTGCCTTGGACGGGAGTGTTCCCGCGACTCAACTGACACACGCTAGCGCTGACTGTGAGTTGCAGGCAGCCATGCATACCGCCGCTAACACCACAGCCGTACAGCAGCGCTGCTGCGAATACGGCTGCTGCGATCGCATCTGCCCCTGCTGCAGGCAATGTGGCGGCCCCCGCGGACGGGGCAAATGCTGCTGCACCTGGGGCTCAAATAGCTGCACAGGGTAACAGTGAGTTGCAGGCAGCCTCGGGTGCCAGCCACAGAGCTGTTGCACCCGCAGCCGCAAAATGAGCGCTTAGCTGGCCGCTCCAGCAGCTGCTGCTGCTGCTGCTGCTGCCACTAAGGGCTGTTGTGATCGGTGCTGCCACTGCTGCAGGTGGTGTGCTTCCCGGGGCAGAGGCAGTCGATGCTGCACCTGAGGCTGAGATTGAAGCAGCGCAGGATAACGGTGAGTTGCAGGCAGCCACGGGTGGCAGCCGCACAGCTATTACACCCGCAGCCGCAAAGTGAGCACTTCGCTGGCCGCCCCAGCTGCTGCTGCTGCTGCTGCTGCTGCTGCTGCCACTAAGGGCTGCTGTGATCGGTGCTGCCACTGCTGCAGGCAATGTGGCGCCCCCGCTGCCGGAAAATGCTGCTGTATCTGGGGCTCAGATAGCTGCGCAGGGTGATGGTGAGTCGCAGGCAGCCAAGGGTGCATGCACAGCTGCTAGACCCACAAACGGCAAGCATTGCTTGGCACATGAGCCTGCATGAATTCAAAGCAGGTTCGGGTTACGTCCTATAGGCAGTAGCTACTGCTGCTGCTGCCCATTCAGCAGCAGGCAATTCGCTAAAGAGCTGAACGCCTTTGCAGACAACTACGTGAAAATGGGCCCCTGGGTCAACATCCTATTTTACTCCTGGATCGAGCTGTGCTACACCAACAGCCTGCATCCCTTCACTGGCGACAAGCTCAGCGGTACAGATTTGCATGATGCACTCCAAGCTGATCCACAAAACAAGCAAGATGTCGAGGAGCAAGTCAAAACAGGCGATCCTTCTACTCAACGATGCTTCCTAGATGCTTGCAACAACACACGAGACAGGTTGATTCAAGAAATCCAGTCAACGGTGAGGCTTCTGAAGCTGCACGCCCGCAAAGCATTGGTCTGTATAATGAAGCATGGCGCTGCCGTGCTGCAGATGGTGGTCACTGTACTGCTTGCAGCCCTGGCTGTGACACTCCTCGGGTTCCTGGCCAGCAGGGAGGGCTGGAGTAAAGTCGACTATGCGAGCTGCACTCTTTCGCTTCTTTCTTTTGTTTGCTCGTTTTCCCATTTGGCTGGTGGGGGGTTCATGTTCTCGATGGTGGTGGGCAGATCCCCCCGCACCTTCACACACGTGTTACTCAAGTGTGAACCCTTGATGCGTGCCATTCTGCACTCCTTTTTTGCTTCCCTGAACTTGCTTTTTGCTGCTGTGCTTCTGTTTACATTCGACGTGGCTTGGGAAAACATCCCTGATCCAACAAGTGGTGCCGCACCGGTGGTACCTGTTTATGCCAAGGCTGTGCTTGCTTGTGCTTGTGTGGGCTTAAAGTCTGGTAAAGCAAGAACTAGCTTGCAACATAGACTCCCCGCCGAAACGGGACGGGAACCGGGCGAAAGCAGAGAAAGCAATAAAACAGGGGTGGAGCAGGTAAAGGTAAAGGTGGGGAAGAGCCTCCACAGGCTTAACTTCCCGGTTTTAACGTCTAGCTTTAGACCATTATTTGATCTGCCCGACGCGCCAAGTGCAGTACCCCCCACTAGTAGTGAATGGGTCCCGGGGAGGCCTGTGCCGAAGCCTTGGCGATTCTATTAGGCGTTCCCGAAGGAATTGGCTTGGATTGGCGCTGAGCCGGTCAGCTATGCCGCGTTTGTCCTCACAAAGTTTCGACATGGGAGGAATCGAACCTGTGCCCTCTCGGACTTGACTTGACTTGTGTGGGCTTAAAGTCTGGTAAAGCAAGAACTAGCTTGCAACATAGACTCCCCGCCAAAACGGGACGGGAACCGGGCGAAAGCAGAGAAAGCAATAAAACAGGGGTGGAGCAAGGCGACATGCAACGCAAGCAGCTGACAGGGCACGCATCGAAACGTGTGTATGACTGGCAAAGTGGCATGGCTGGTACGGGACGGTACGGGAGCATGGGCTGGCCAAACGGCAGTGCGGAACGCTAGGTCACTAGAAAAGCAGGGGAAGGCGCACTATGTATGCAATGAGGGCAGCCCCGGCTCGGGGCCGTTGAGAAAGCAGTGGGCGGGAGGGGGGAGGCCCCGGTGTGGGCGGGCCCCATCGAGGGGGGATGGGGCGCGCAAGCGGCCAGATGGGGCGGGGCGCGGGCGGCGGTGGAGTCCTGCGGCTGGGTGGGATATAGGGCAATGAGCGTTGAGCAGTGTGCGATGAGCAATGAGCAATGAGCAGTGAGCAGCCCCTCCCGAAACAAAGTGAAGCGCAGGACGGGGTCCGGTGGATGGGAGGCAAGGAAGCGCGGGGGGTTGCCACGTGCGCTACCGCCGCCGCCGCAGGCAGCACCCTTGCGGCGGCGGCGGCGGAAGCAAGCCGTGAACCCAAACGCCGTGCCGCCGCCGCCGCAGGCAGCAGCCCTGCGACGGCGGCGGCAGCAAGCCGTGGACCGAAACGCCGTGCCGCCGAGTCTCGTGGCTGTGGCCGTGGGCTTCTGGCAGGAAGCTACGGCCGCAGCTCGGCGGCACGGGGGCGTCGCAGCGTGCCGCCGCCGCCGCCGCGATGCCCCCCCCGGGCACAGCGGCGGCGGCAGCAAGCTTGGGCCCAAACGCCGTGCCGCCGAGTCCCGTGGCTGCGGCCGTAGANTGTGG